GGGCAGAAGCCACAATGGCTGGGTTTTCTCTGAGTCTCCAGCCTTCATCCTGACGCCCAGGCTCCCACTCCTGCTTCTGGTTGAATGTGCTCGGGTCCCTCTGGTTGTGGAAGTCCAGGAGTGCTTGCTTGTGACTAGCTCTGCCTCTGTCCGCCAGCAGGTGGTTTCTCTGTTCTTTGAAGGTCACTCCTCCAGGAAAAGCCTTGGCCACGACAAAGTTTCAGGCTTGGAACGAATGCTCCATCCTCCTCAGCCCCTGAGAAGACGGAGGAGCGGGGTGAGGGGCTAGAGCAGACCTGTGTGCGTTCAGCCCTACCTGAGTCTGCACCAGCTGTCTTCCTGGCATAACTTGGCGTGAAGTAAAAACCTGAAGCCAGGACATTTGATGAATCCTTATGAGGTTTTCACACAGCAAATAGGTGCAGCTAAATGTGTTTAAACTTCTAATAATTACTCAGTTGTTACGTGTTGTCAAGTCAGAACTGACTCATAGCTGACCCTCCTGTGGGTTTGCAGAGCAGTAAATGGCACCGGAGCAAACTGCCCGTCCTCCTCCATAGAGCAGTTGGTGGGTTTGAGCGGTGTGTCTTTGGGATTGCAGGACAACAATGTAAAAAATGTTATCGTGCGAGAGTCTCCTCCGACCCTCACAGCACACCACCGTCCTTCCGCTCCTGCTCTCAGATCACCCCAGAACCTTCGCTTGTTGCCAGCCCTAGGCCCTGAGGAACAGGATCAGATGGAGTTTAGCAATAGGGTTAGGGTGTGTCTAGTGTGATAAACACAGCTATCAGTTTGTGAAGGAGCCTGGTGGCATAATGGTTAAGCACTCAGCCTGTAACCCAAAGGTCATCAGTTCAAACTCACCCAGGGAGCTCAGGGGGAAAGAGAACCTGGTGATGGGGGCCCTCAAGGATCACAGCCCAAAGAACCTGCTGGGGCAGTTTAACCCCGTCACACTGTGTCATCGTGAGCAGAAACGGGCATCATGTTGTACTCTGATTCCCTTTGCTGGAGAACAGCATTTCTGAGTCACCCCAGGCCCCTTACCTGAGCCCCAGGGCCAGGTTGAAGGAAATGGGGCTACCTGAAACGGAGTCACTATTTTTCAAACTTCAAATGCTCATTTTTATATAAGATCCCAAAATGAAGTGAACTATACTATGTAATAAATAGTATAACAAAATGGTTCTAGGAAGACAAACAAAAGGAAAAAAGATTTGCAGCTGAGATGTTGTAAACTTGGATTCCATATCTTTTGAGGCTTTGTGATCAAGAGCCCATGTCAAGAGGTGAGGGAGGCCTGTCTGTACGAACACAGGAGAGGGGTCCAGTCAGACGGAAGAGGCAGATGTGGGCTTTCAAGACTTTGTAAAATGAGTTCAAACTCATGGCAAGTTGAGTTAGAAGTGAACCGCTGGGTTTCTGAGGCTGTAAATCACAGAGGAGGAGATTGTCCGTCTTTCTTCTGGGGAGCCAGTGGGGGATTCGAACAGCCAGAGAAGTGTGGCTGGTGCGTTAGCAGTGCCACCAGCAAGGCAAAAAAACGGTGGGCAAGAGCCTGTGGTGTTTGCAGGAGAGCAAGACGCCTGGTGGTGGGGTTTGTGCCACTGGGGCCATGTGGAACCTGGGCTGTTCCCCAGAGTTGTGGGTCCAGAAATTATTTCTGATGTAACCTCTGTGTGCGGTTGAGTCCAAGAGGCTGGGGCGGGGGGGAGGGGGGGCATGTGGGAGGGCATTGGGTTCCAAATCTTGGTCTCTGGATGGGATTTTCAACCTGCAGAAGCTGCCACCGCTAAGTCCAAGGAAGCTTTCTGGCGGGACATTCTATACTCTCTAAGCTCTGGCTAGATGTCTCCGCCCACAGGAAGTCTCCTATGGTTTCCTCCAGACTCTTGGCCTGCAACTGTCTGGAAAGGAGACAGGAGAACATGATGTATATCAGCGAGTAGAGGCTCGCAGTCAGCCAAGCTGCCCTCAGTGAGTTCTCAGCTCGACGGACGGCCAGCTGTGCCTGAATGCACCTCCACATCTGCAAAATGAGTCAGTTTTGGATTGCCGACCTCACAGCATGGCCTGCAAAGTGCTCGGCACATTGTTTGCAGTTAAAAAAAAAAAGGAAGTTGTATTAAATCAGGCTTGTTTATGCTCACGTCCTCCGCAGTTCCTTTATTCTTAGGCTGGTATTTTTAACTTTCTGAAGTTAGGATTAACTATCCAGCTGGCAGGCAGGAATCAAATGAAACTGGAGGTGCCTGTTACCATTCGTGGCATCCTGAGCTTGAGAAACGTGGTCCAGGTGTGCCCAGGTATCACCTGCTTTAGATTTCAATGACAGGGTCTGCTGCTCTCATTGGACTGGTAACATCATGGAGTCTGGGATGGCATGTTACCTGTGTCCCCTCTCAGCCTTCAGTTTTTGTCATCAGGTGCCGTCAAGTAGAGTACGACTCCCAGTGACTCTGTGAACAACAGATCTGAACCCTGTCCTATGCCGTGCCATCCTCACCCTCCCTGACACACTGGGTCCATTTGCTGCAGTGACTGTCAATCCGTCCTGTTGAGGGTCTTCCTCTCTCCCTGACCCTCCACCTTTCCAACCGTGATGTCTTTTCACAGGAGCCAAATGTCTGCTTGGTCAGATTCTGGAAAGGCCCTGGCCAGTTCCTCAGTGGCTAGGGGGCTGAGGAAATACCGCCAGTCACCGAGCTTCCTCCCCAGTGCTCTAACGTGTCCCAGGGAGCTTTCACCCACTCAGGTCTATTCTGGCAGGACTCTAGCTCTTGCCGTGCACCTTGGGATAAACCCACTCTCACTCTGGGCTTCATGTCAGGTGGGCACATGAGGTTGCAGAATGCCACTCGGACAGCCCGAGAGGCTCTGCCCATTGCTTTCCAAGGGACCCTCTTTCCAAAATCTGTCCTGATCAGATGGGCTTGAAGGAAAAGATATCTTTCTCCGGAAAGTGTTGGGAAGAAAGCAGATGCCCTGTGATTGATTTCTCATGTCTTATCTGTGCCTCTCATACTCATGTCTCATGCCTGATAGTCAGCAGAGCCCCACGCTTGAGGACCAAGAAATAGTCACTGTAACCTTCCTCTCTGTGTGTGAGGGAAAGGATCACCACCTCCTGCCCTAAATGTAAATAAAAACAGCCTCAGACTAGTCACGCAGGCTCTGATGTTTACATCAAGCAACACCCCACCACTGCCTTGTTTATTATCCAGGAGAGAGCAGAAAGACCACCATTCTGGGAATGAATTTATTCTTCCCAAATCGAACTGTGCTAGGTGCCAAGTGCTGAGATTTATTTTTATTCTTGGGTTCTGGCTTCTGCTTTACCATCAATATACTCAGTTAACCCAGGATCCAAAAGTGAGGTGGCTAGTGTCCACCTTTCAAATCCTTCCACGTGACCCCAGGCTTGCGCGCACTAGAGCATGTCACAGAGGGCATAAACCAAAGCTTCTTAACCTTTGGGAAGCAGTCTTCCTTGAAAGCCAGATAAAAACAGAGACTTTCCAGGAAAAAAAAAATGCAAATGCAAGAGGACATTTGAGGAGTTCCTGTGGGTCCTTCAGGTGCGAGAAGTCTTGAATACAGTTGTTGTTTCTTGTTGTTGTTGTTATCAGGTCCCATTGAGTCGAGTCTGACTCATAGCGAGCCTATGAACAAAAGATCTGAAACCAGCCCTGTCTTGCACCATCCTCACGCTTCCTAACACACAAGAGCCCATTTCAGCAGTCACCCTATCAGTCTACCTGGTTGAGGGTCTTCCTCTCCTTTGTCAACCCTCCACCCTTCCCAACATCATGTCCTTCTCCAAGGAATAGCTCCTCCTAGCAATATGTCCAAAGTATGTGAGGGGAAGTCTTATCATTTTTGCCTCCAAAGAGCACTCTGGCTGCACCCTCTCCAAGACATATCCATTTGTTTTCTTGGCCGTTCATGGAATGTTCAAGTGCTCTTCTCCACCACCACAGCTCAAAGATGTCAATTCTTTTTCTGTCATCATGTTCAGTTTAGTGGCCATTTAACTGTCTCTCCAGCAGACTTCCCTCAGATGGGTTTTAGGAAGGGAGATACTTCTAAATCCTTTTGGGGGAGGCTAGTCTGGAGCTGGCCCAGGCGTCCCCATGGCTGTCATGCCTTTCTTTTCAAGGAGGGCCTGAGGGATAGTAGTTTGGAGGGCAGATGAGGGCTGGTTGTAGAGCTGTGTAGGTAGAGCAGACAATTTGTAGCTTAGACGAGTTCATTAGCCATAGCTTGGGGAGCCTTTCCTCTCTGGATGGGTTCAGTGAGCCCATTAAGGTTTATGCTCTGCTGCTTCACAGGGACCAGAGCTAACAGACCTGGTCAGCCTTCCAAAGTCTGCCTCTGCTCCTGGAGGAGGGAGACACTGGGTCCTGAGGATGCCCCTTGAGAGCATATTAGTGGGATGAAGGCTCAGGGAGAGGCACTTAAAACCCCTTTTTGATGGTGGAAATGAGAATTACAGGAAGTGGGAGGGTTATAATTACATTGTGGGGATTGTAATTATTGTTACAAAACATGTGTGAATGGTTGAAAGGAAAAACAATTAATTGCCTTTTCTCCTTGGGGCTCAAATTTAGGATTTGAGAGGCAAGGGACTTGGGTGTAGGGAGGAAAATAAGGGACAACCCTTAAGTTGGAAAGCCCAACTTAAAGGCCAGCCCCTTCTCCCCACATCCCAATCTTGGGGCTCAGGTCCTGATTTCCACCTAGGGTAGCCACATCTCCCCCGAGTCCTCCAGGTCCTGAGGTCCTGAACTACTACCATCACCATCCCTACCCCTTCACACACACACACACACACACACACACACACACACACACACACACACACACACACGAGCTGGTACTATTGTGGGAACAATAAATTTCTTTCTAGCCAGGCTGAACTCCTGGGGAGATGGGTGGTGATATTATACACTTCTTGGTGTGGTCTGTAGCCTGGGATGTAATCTCCTTTTCACAGATTAACGCCATGGGGTCAGGTATTTGACACGACTGTGGAGAGAAACACAGGTGAGGTGGGCGCTTAGAAGGTATAAGCTCTGAAAACACCGCTCCCATCCAGCCTCTCTGCAGCTCAAGAGCCCTCGGCAGCTCCCTACGTGCGTCTGCCTAATTTGGGCTGTTCAGCTAGGTTTTGAAGTTACTCTCATCCTGCCCAGTCCCAGTTTGCCTCATTCTTTTCTTCCACTGATCCCCAATCATAAACTTCTTTCCTCACTTTTCAATCATTGAATGAACCTCCTCGGTCATGTATTCTACAAAATAGTAAAAAGCCACTACCCATCCCTCCAATAAACCCCTGCATTCAGTTGAGTATGCGAACAGAGGGAGAAAGGCAAACTTTCCAGCAATACTTATAATGCAACAGTCTAAGTGCTTTAACGCAGGATGTAGTATGGAGACTCATCCAAGGGGGTCTGCAGTGGGGGCTAGAGAGGAAAGGCAAAAGGTCAGGGAGGACTTCAAAGAAGAGGTAGACTTCTGAGCTGGACTTTGAAGAGTGAGTAGGAGTTTTCCAGACAGAGAAGGAAGGATAATCAAGCACAATGCAAAGGTGGGAAGGAGTGGAAGATGGCTAAATCAGGAAGCATATGCAGTACCACCCACTAGGTTCACTCTCTTCTCCAAGTTCTTACTTATGAGATGACCTGTTCTCAACCTGGGATGCAGATTTTCAGTTTTATCTGTCATGCAGTTTATGCCTGTTCTTCCAGGCCCGAGTGTCTTCCCCCCCAGATAACTCCCCCTCCTTTAGGCCATTTCTGGGTCCAACAGCGTGGAGCAGTGCTGTCCCCCACTCCCCGCTGACAGCACTCGTCTTTCCAGAGGGAGGCGCTAGGGCCCCCTAGACCCTCACTTCTCGAGGCCCCGCCTCCGTGGCTCACGGGGCGTGATCAGGGTGAAGGGGCGGGGTCAGTACTGTACCTGTAGGTGGAGCCAAAGTGTCGGACCGCATTCCTGGGAAAGAGGGCGAGACTGAGCGGAGACTCTCATGGGCGCCCTCAGATCCCACAAGCGGTGACAAAGTCTGGTCAGAACTAAGCATTATTCATTTTGAAGTTGCCGTTTTCTAGCCTTACACTGGAGTCAATCCTTTTCCCCAGGTCTCACGCATTTTCAAGATGCACATTGGGGAAAGCCGCTGAGACTTCCCCACTGTCCCCCAAACCCCGCCCCGAGTCTGGCATCCCGGGCATGGGGAGGCACTCACAGAGTATCGTAGGGCAGGGGCTTCTGTCCATATCGGTTTAGGCTGGGGTTCTGGCTGAGGCAGAACTGCAGGAGTCCGAGGGGTGCAAGGGTGAGACTGGGATGGGGGGAACCAGCTACTCCCGCGTCCCGGGGCCGAGGATGTGATCAGGGCTCAACCCTTCTTACCCGCCAGCTCTGGGTCACATCCGGCTTCAAGTGCCGCACTGCGTAGCCGCTGAAACTCTCAACTGCGGAGAGAGAAGCAAGCCCCCCTGGGGTCCCCGGCCCGCTCCAGAAAGGCCCCGCCCCCAGCCCTAAAAGGTCCCGCCCCCAATCGAATTCTCCGCCCCACAAAAGCTCCTCGGAAAGCCCGCCTCCTGCCTCCTAAGAAAGCCCCGCCTCCAGCGATAGCTCTGTCCTATCAGAGTTCCTCGGAAAGCCCGCCTCCCGCCTCCTAAGAAATCCCCGCCTCCAGCGACAGCTCCGACCTATCAGAGTTCCTAGAGAAGGTCCGCCCCCTGCTCTAGGGAAGCCCCGCCCTTATATGGGTTCCTACGAAAGCTCCGCCCCTAAGACTGGCTTCCTAGAGCTCTGATACAATTTGTGGCGACTGGGTCCCAAACCTGGTTTTTTCTAGAGTCTGCTCGCTCCCTCTGATCATTCCGAACCCCTGCACCGCTCGGTGCCCAGGACGTGTCCAGTCTTCTTGGTGGTCGGCCGGCCTCCATCCCATCCGCAAGCCTTGGCCCAGCTACTTTCCATCTCCCTTGCCCTGTCAACCCCGCCCTCGTCCACAGCGCTGGATGCACCCCGTCCTCTGCCCACGATCCTCGCCCCTACCCTTGGCTGGCAAGTGTCCCCGCTCTGCCCTAGCGTATCCTCCCCTCCAGGTAGACCTACTCTTCTTGTCTAAACACGGCAGCTTGAACTCTCCAGCCGAGGACACGAAGCGGGACCAGTCCTCGATGGCGCGCGTGAAGCAGGGCCAGTTGACCTGGTTGATGCCTGGGACAATGGGAACCAGTCTCTCTTCTCGGTATCTGTGGCGGAACTTCTGGCCAGTCGCTGTGATGTCCTGCCAGGGCACTGGGGATCAGGGCCTCCGAAACATGTGGAAGTCTAGGGGGCTGTCCCAGACCACTTGTAGCCCAGAGTTGCCACGTGGTCCATCTGCTGAGGGTGGGCTCCCTAGCAGACTGCTGAATTTAGGGTTCAAGAGTCTGCACTAGGGTCAGGGCCTTTCTCTCAACCTTTTTGGGGAGGTGGGCAAGCTTGGGCTGTGTTCTTTCTCCTGAAAATCCTAGGTCAGGAGCAAAGGATACTCACCAAGCACTGCAGGGGCTTGTTGGGAACTCCGAGGAGGGTAAAGTAGGCATTGTCAAACTCGTCTGTAGAAAGAAAAGAGGAGGGAGCAGAGTCTTTTGAGTTTTGTTCTTCAGTGGTCCCATGTCCACACAGTAGAGGGGCTTGGACCACACACCAGCTTTAAATTCTTGTGGTGTGGTTTTTTTTTTTAATGTGTTTGACAATTAAAAAAAAAAATTCCAAGCATCCGCACCTCACCTCTCATGATGGAGTAAACTCTAAAGAATTAAAAAATTCAATGTGAAAAATGAAAACATAAATGTACTGGGAGAAAACAAAGTAAAATTCCCCTATAACCTTAAAGTGAGGTAAGCCATGCTAATGTTCCCCTGTGACTTTTACTTACCAGATCTCTCCCCTCCTCACATCCATCCACCCTTTTCACAAACACTCAGAGGGAAGCCGGTGTGGGTGACCGGCAGCGGACAGCCGAGGGGGACTGACCTTTGCAGCAGTATGTGCTAGACTGGCTGTGTTCGTCAGAGAGGCAGCCCCTGACGGTGTCCATGTCCATGCGGCGCAGGGTGGGCAGAGCTGGATGGTAGAGCTGCCACTTGACCCCGGCCAGCATGCAACGCTTTGGCTCAGCTGGGATCAGGATGGCTGGGGTCGCTTGCACGTGGGTGGAGCCATCATCCCAGGGAACCAGGTCGACGAGGCGGGCCATGGCTGTAGGCAGAAGTCCTGAGAGGTTCACCAAGGCCCAGGCCTGCCAGACACCCTTCTGCCTTGGAATCGAATGTGGCCAGTATTACTAGTGAACATTTATTGAGCACTTATTGCCCAGCTGTTTTCTTGGAATACTCCCTCCGGTGACAGGGACTCTATTACAGAGGGACTGATAGACTGCTCTAAAGGCTGTGATAAAGGTGCTTTGATGGAGGTCCTAAAGGGTGTAGGTGAGCAACTAAGGCATGACTGGAGATTGAAACTCTCAAGGACTGATCTTAAAGAGCATTTGAGCATTATCTTAAAGAGCATTATTTTTCAATAATGAGAAGAAAGAAGCAATAGTAGTGAGTTCAGAATGTAATCCAGGAAGCCATGCACGTTGGGTGACTGGGCTTTTTGGATTTAGCTAAAGGGTCTGAATGATAACATGGAATTCTACAGGGAGACAGAAGTGTTTTAATGAAGGGGAGAGAGATGAGAGATCTGAACCAGGAAAGCTCTGCTGGTTACCCCTTAAAAAGCTGATGTTCCCCCAAACCTTTCAGTCATTTACAGCTTAGTGAGAATGTGTCAGTACAGCTTGTTTTTCTTCCTGACCTAGACATAGATCTCTTGAGAGATTGGGGGTGGGAGGTCTGTGAGAGGGAGAAATGGGGGGAGAGGGCTAGGTGAGGAGGCATGGGGAAGCTGCGTCAGGGAATGGGTGGAGAGCACCCAGAAGTACTGAGGGAGATGGGGGGAGAGCTCCCTGTTTCTAACCGAAAGCTGCTACCTCATCTGCACGGCTTTGGGCTGTGGTGTACACAAGCTTTGAACAGCTTCCTGCTCTTCCGACTGCACGGTGTGGAGAGGCTTGAGGAAGTGAGGCAGGCCAGACCTCAGTGCCCTCTGATGACAGGCTAATAAAGGAACATTCTGCAGTAACAATGCTCATTGCAGCTTAATTGTGAAGGCACAAGTGCCTTGGCAACCTTGATGACCAACGGCTCTGAGGAGAGAGGTATCTCTGTCCTACTCACCCCCTGTTAGCCCCTCTCAAAAGCTCGGTCCCCTGGACTAAAGCACATGCAATACACCATGGGACACATCAGGCAGGGAACTGGGTGACCTGGAGGTGACCAAAGAGCTGGCCAGAGAGGACTCTGAGCCTAACCCTAACCCTAACCCTAACCCTAACCCTAACCCTAACCCTAACCCTAACCCGTCTCTCTCTGCATTTCAGGGCTCCTATCTGTGTTGGTGAGGGACCTAAATCCTGCCATTAAGTGTGTCTGTAAACTAAGAGGGCTCCCTCCAAACCAGGCTAGCAGCCTTGGGTCTCCAGAGTCAGAGATTAGTGGCTGCCAGTATCCAGGGTCACCGCAAAGGGGATCAGGGAGACTGGCGACCTCAGCAGGTCAGGGATTAGCAGATGATACTCCACCCTCAGCTTTCCAGGCCCCTAGAGTCCCACGTTACCCTCCCTTCTCAGGAAAGAGGGCCTGAGCCCAGCACCCACAGTCGGGGGACCTACCCCATTATAGTATTAGAGATGGATCCCAGGGGAGGCGAGGAGGCCCTGGACAGCCAAGCTGATTTGCAGGTACTGGCAAGTGCTCTGCACGCACCTGCCTCTGTGCTGATGGTACCGAGCCCTGAACTGTGATGTTCAGGAGAACAGGGCTTCCCAATTGTTCCTCAAAGGGGAGCTCTGGTCCATGGTTCATAGCCGGTTGGTCCGTAGCTCAGTCCATAGCCAGTTGCAATGTTAACACAAAGCCCACTCCTCTCCAATGGTTCAAATCCACTAGTGGCTCTGAAAGATAGACAGGCTGCCTCCTTCTGTTACAATTTACAGAAACCAGAGGGAGGGTTGCTATGAGTTGGAAATGACTTGATGGCAGTGAGCTGAGATTTTTAATTTTTTTTAATTTGAGTTGTTTCTCACGCAGGGGTCCCTACAGCTCCCAGGACAACATCTCCAGGTCCTGCCCTTCACAGAACACTTTTCCCAGCCTCATCTCCACTCAACACCCCACCCCAACTAATGTTTGACTCTGATAAAATGATACAATAGAACAATATAGGGTATAGACTTATAATTTAATAATTTAAAGCGAGACACCCTTCTAACTGCTACCTGTGTTCAAACAAAACAGTTTTGCAGTTTCTTATAAAGTTAAACTTGAATTGAATGTGTTATTGTTATTGTTAGATGCCATCAAACCGACTACAACTTGTTGTTGTTGTTGATTGCCTTCGAGTCGAGCACGACTCATACTGACCCTATGAACAAAAGGCCTGAAGCCCCTCTACAACTATTGACACTTATCATAGTTCATAGAGTTTCTGGAGGCATGTAGCGACCCTATAAATAGCAGATCTGAGCCTTGTCCTATCCTCTACCACCATCATGATCTCAGATCCATTTTTACCATCAGTGTGCCAACCTGCCATTCTAGGATTCTGTTCAAGAAAAAATTAAAATGGCTCTCTGCACAAAAATTTGTATACAAATATGCAAATTTTATATACAAATGTTCACCACAGCACAAGTCAAAAGGTGCAAACAACCCGTATGACTAATAGCAGATGGAAGGTTAATCACTACAGTGGAATAGCCTTTGACAATAAAAACTTTCAAGGTACTGGTAATTCACTGGTTCAGAGAAAGAAGATTAGTTACAAAAGATGAGTTACTCTCAAATGCAGATGATATATTTCTTTTTTATCCTCAATGTGTGAAGTCTGGACAAAGGTGACCAAAGAGAAGAATGAAGTATTCAGAATTCAAACACTGATGGCCTTTCCTGCTGCAGCTAAGAAGCGCAAACAGCCTTGCCTGCCTGGCTGAGCTAGCAGGTAGATCGTGAATCAGAGTGGAATGTCCTTCCCTAAAGAGTTGGTTATAAAAATCCTTCCCAATAAGTTCACAGTGTGACTTCCCCATTCTGCATCCCCAAAATGAGGAACTTAACCCGGGAGCTCCCCCAGCCCCCCTTTTAATAAAGCTGCATTGCGCTTTCTCTCATTCTCTCTGATTTTTTCCTTAAGTCCACTAACTTAACACAATGGTTGTATTGAGATATAAGTTTATACTACAAAACTTCACCACTTTAATGTAGATATTTATGAGTGACAGTGAGAAGAACAGGAATCCCAGAACACTTAATAACCAATCAGTCTAACAGAGTGATACTGGAGGTGTTCATCAGGGCTGTATCATTTCACCAACACCTATTAAATATCTGTTCTGAGCAAACAATTCAAGAAATCAGACTATGTGAAGAAGAATGTAGGATTGGAGGAATACTCATCAACAATCTATGGTATGCAGATGACATAACCTAGCTTACAGGAAGTGAAGATTTAAAGCACTTGCTGATTCAACGGCAGACAAGAAGAAAATAAAGAAATAAAATCTTTTTTTGAAAAAAGGCACTTGCTGAGAAAGATCAAAGACTGAAACCTTCACTACGAATCACTTCTCAAAAAAACAAAAATTGGCTCCATCCTCCTCACTTTTGGCTGCTAGCTGTACTGGTACATGTGTGCCCACAGCCCCCAACACCTTGTCGCCATGCCCCAAAGAATTGAGGAAATCAAAGACTTTCTGCTCATCACCAGGCGAAAAGATGCCAGATCAGGCGAGATCAAGAAAAAGGAGGAGAATATGAAGTTTAAGGTTCGGTGCAGCAAGTACCTTTGTACCCTGGTCATCACAAAATGAAGGCAGAGAAACAGAAGCAGTTCCTTGCTGTAGGTTTGGCTGTGAAGGAGCTGAAATGAACCCACATGCTGGTTTGGACGAGAATAACAATTTTCAAAACACAACAAACAATTAAAAAAAGAAAATGAAAAACCTCACCCCCGGGCCAACAGTCAATATCATGATAGATGGAGAAAAGATTAAATTGCCCATGAGTTAATTTTATACAGTCTTTTCAATCACTGGTTATGTATCTTGGAGCTGGACAATGAATAAGAAAGACAGAATAATTGATGCTTTTGAGCTGTGGTGTTGGAGAAGAGTCCTGAATAACCCATGGACTGCCAAAAAACCCAACACGTATTTCTTGGACAAAGTACAAACCAGAATGCTCCTTAGAGGCAAGAATGGAAAAGCTTCATCCCACATACTTGGGGCATCTTGTAAGAAGGGCCTATTTCCTGGAAAAGGACAACATGCTTAGAAAGATGGACGGTCCTCAAAGAGAGGAAGGCCCTCGACGAGATAGACTGACACTGTGTGGGCTCACGTGTGTCAGAGATGACAAGAGTGGCACAGGGTAGGGCACGGCTCACACTGGTTGTTCGCTGGGTAGCTATAAATCGTGCTTGACTGGATGGTGCTTAACGATAACAGTCTCTTGATTCTGGAGCGCGGACAGCGCAACAGGGAGCTCTGGTGACATCATCCATACTTGTGCTGTTAACCCAAAGGCCGAACCTGTCTGGTGCTTCAAATCCACCTGTGGCACGAGCCGGGATAAGAAGGGCCTTCTCCTCCCTGTGATTTACAGCCTGAAAACCCAATGGAGGGCGGAGATGAGTTAGAACTGTATAGATCACGGGGAGTTTGAGTTTAGTAGGGCAATCGTTCACTAGTTGGTTGCATGGGGGAAAGACTTTAATTTTGGTTTCTGCTCTTATTTTCAGGAACCCTATGGCCCTGACAGCATAGTTTTCAGCAAACCAACACGATGTAAGTCTCTGGTGGTTCGAATTCATCAGCAGCTCCTCAGGATAAGAATGAGCAGTCTCCTCAAGTGAACACTCACGGCCTCACGACGGCGCTGGAACCGGCTCCCTGGCTGTGGCTAGGTGAGGGGTGAGACGGCAGCCATTCACCTGCTCACCCGGAACTGGGACTTACCAGCTGCTCCCAGCAGAAAGATAAGGCAGGCAGGCTGCTTCTGTGACTTTGACAGCCTTAGAGGGCTGTGCTGTGAGGTGTCGGTGAGTCAAGGACGACGTCCAGCGACCCTGTGAGCAGAGTCCCTCTCCTGAGCCATCAATACACTTGAGTCCAATGTTACAGTCATTATGTCAGTCCGTCTCATTGTGGGTCTTCCTCTCCTGTGCCGAACCTCCACCTTTCCAAGCATGATGTCTCTTTCCAAGGACTAGCCCCTCCTCACAATATGTCCCAATAGTCTGTTCTAAGGGTTTCTCTGTGTTAGCATTGACTTGATGGCCAATGGGCTTGGGTTTCATGCCTGTCTTTCTATTGGAACATAAGCTCCACCAGGGCAGGGTCCGTGTCTGTCTTGTTCAATAATGCTGAAGCTGGTTAACTGTCAGGCACAGAGAAGCTCAAGAAATATTGTAGCCATTCAAGTCAGTATTTGGCCCTTTCACTCAGCATCCCTCTACCTTCTAGTCTTTGGGTTCCTGCCAGCCACTGAGCCCCTCCTAACGAGGCTATGGGCTCTCTGTGTCTTACGTCCCCTCCCTTCAGCCTCCTCTGCAGCTCATAGGGAAAGCTCATCCGTCCTAGAGGCCTGGGGATCATGGGCATCCTGACAGCAGCCAAGACAGGCTACTGAGGCCCTGTGCCAACCTCAAAAGTTTCCAGGCCAGAGAGAACCTGGCCGAGTGTCAGCTTTGGGGCTGCAGAGCCAGGTGAACGTCCCACCACAGCTGCTGGGGGCTGGTAAACCCCTGCCACTTGTGGAATCTTCCACAATCACATGAGGACTCCCAGTCCTTTCACTGGTCACTCTGCAGCTTGGCCGAGTGTCCTCCAAGCCTGTGCCTCACGGATCCCTTCCATGCGATCCTGGGACCCACTGGCCCCTGGAAGGAGGGGCAGCTGGCTCTCAGAGCACCACTCTCCTCTGCCCCCACCCTCTCTGGATCCTTGGTAATCCTTTGCACACGGCCTGGCTGCAGCCAATTAATCCTCACTGTATCCGACAAGTTCAACCGCAAGTAGCAGAGAGAAGGCTTCTGCTGGCGGCTGGGCTGGCGTCTGAGGAGGTAACTCAGGAAGGGGTGGAGGCTTGGTGGCAACCCCGGTGGGACCCCCATTCTCTGCTTTGAGCAAGATAACAAAAAGGAAATCCAAGCTTCCCCTCCCCTTGCGAACTTTTCATGCATCTCAATCCCCAGGGTGTGGGGACCCCAGGAATCTATATTTTGACTAGATCTCCAGAGGATTCAGAAAAGTCAGTGGTGGTTGGGGGCGGGGCAGTGTCCAAGTAAGTACGGTGTTCCTCTGGGCAGCCCCTCCCAGGTTCCCTTTTCCCCTTGAACCTCTTTCCTCAAGGAGGAATCCACAGAGAGCCCGCTAACAGGTGGCGGGGGCGGGGGGGGCACACACAGGAGGATATGGCTGCATCGATGTGGGAGGAAAGAAGCAGTGCTGTTTCAGCACATTTTCTAGTCTTTCCAGAACATCCCCGAAGTGCAAGCCAGGGTTGCTGGGAAAGGGTCTGCAGAAGAGGCCGTCTCTCAGATGCCTTTGCGTGGGAGAAGGACATCTGAGGGGCAGACCCAGCTTGGCTTCTTGTGGGCTACTTATTGACCTTTCTGGGTCTCCATTTTCTTAGGTGTAAAATGGTAATGCGGAGATACCTTTTACAGGAGAACGGGCTTGGTGGGTGTGATTGTGGGGGTGGGGAGCTTTGGCTCAGTTAGGCTTGGAGGAATCACTCACACTGGAGCTACCCTGTCTGCGGTGGTTTCTGAACTCTGTGACCTCAAACATTGACCTTGGGCTTTGTGTTGTTGTTACGTACAGTCGAGCTGGAATGACACTTCTGTGAGTTCAGAGACAGTATATTGCAGGAGAGAAGATTGGTCATCTTTTCCCTCTGGGACAGCTGGTGGATTCAAACCACGTGCCTCTGGGATGGCAGCACAACTCCTTACCACTAAGCCACCAGAATTCCCTAGACTGTGGAGATCATTATGTTTAACCATGGACCTGAGTCTATGGGTTGCTGTTATGTACTGTGAACTTGGAACCGACTCCAGCTGATCCTCCAGTGGGTTTTCTTTTTTCTTCCCCCAGTGGGTTTTCAAAGGCTGTAAGTTGCACTAGAGGAGATTTCCCACTTCTCCCCATCCATGAGCATCTGGTAGATTCGAACTGCCCACCTATAGGTTTGCAGTGCGACTCCTTACCCAGTAGACCACCAGAGCTCCCTGAATCTCTGGATGTTGTTTTTTTTTTAGATGTTGTTGTTGTTATGTGTCATTTGCGACTCATAGCAACCCTATGCACAACAGCCCTAAACCACCCTGCTCTATCCTGTGCCAACCGCACTGCCTCTGACACACCCATCCCGATTGCCCCAGTCACCGAATCAATCCATCTCATAGAGGGTCTTCCCCTCCTGCGTTGTCCCTCCACCCTCCACCCTCCCAAGCATGATGTCCCTCTCCAAGGACCCGTCCCTCCTGGCAACATGTCCAAAGTATGTCAGACGAAGCCCCAGAATCCTTGCCTCCAAGGAGTAGCTTGGAATCCCTGGATAGGGTGGCACAAATAGTTAAATATTCCACTACTAACCAGAAGGTTGGTGGTTCGAACCCATCCAGTGGTCTTGAAAGAGACTGGTGAGAGCTCCTGCAGGGTGAGAACCTTGGAAACACTATGAGCAGGGTTCTCTTGCTCTGCACACACAGGACTGCCATAAGCCAGTTCCACACAATAGCAACACGCTTGTTGGGAAGAGGTATGGAGAAAGAATACAGCCCTGATGCACACTTTCCCGATTTTAAACCCTTGCTCTGTTCAGACAACAGCTTCTTGGTCTATGTATAGGTTATACATGAGGACAATCAAGTGTTCTGGGATTTCCCTTTCTTTTCAACGTTAGCCATAATTTGTCATCATCCACACAGTCGAATGCTTTTCCATAGTCAGTAAGACACAAATAGACATCCTTCTGGCATTTTCTGCTTTCAGCCAAGATCCATCTGACATCAGCAATGTTACCGCTGGAGCCACAGCCCCAAGGTCGGGGGGAAGTGGCTGGCTTCCTCCGTGCTGGACACTTTTGTTTATATATATAGGGATGGAAGCAGGAGTGGCATCCACTTCCGTAATAGCTTGCCTCTGGAAACCCTATGAACTTGGAGAGAGGATGAAAGACACACAAGTGTTGAGGACTCTCCTTCATAGGGTCGCTATGAGTCACCTACGACTCGACGGCACTTAACAACAACAATGACGACGACGACAACAACAAGTCTGGTGACTTAGTGGTAAGGGATTGTACTTGCCAACGCAAGAGTATGTAGTTCAAATCCACCAGCTGTTCCATGGGAGAAAGATGGGCAATTGACTCCCGTGCAACTTATTGCCTCTGAAAACCTGCTGGAGGGTCAGCTGCAAATCAGTTTCAACTGTAGAGTTCCCAACAACATCACATCTACATACGCTCCGTTCATATAGTATAATTACTATTCTTTGCCAACATCACAATCTAAAGGCCATAATTCGTCTTTGATTCTTTCTCATTGTCCAACTTTCACATGCATACACAATGATTAAAAAATACAAATGGTGGGATGGTGAGAGAAATTGAAAGAATTTGTTCTTTAAAACAATGTATTCACAATTTGTAAATAGTAGAAAATTTTTAAAAAAAGCAACAAACAAAAAATACAGTGGCTTGGGTTATACCCACCTTAGTCCCTAAAGTGATATCCTTGCTTCAAAGAGGACCCTTGCCAGAGATTTTCCCTTTTCTGTATGTTTTTTGGACTTCTTGACTGTTGTTTCCATGAGTGTTGATGAACTGAGTAAAATGAAATCTTTGACTACTCCAATCTTTTCTCTGTTCATCATGACATTGTGTATTGGTCCAGTGGTGAAGATTTTTCTTTTCTTGTTGCTGACGTGTAATCCATACTGAAGGCTGAAGTCTTTAAGCTTCACCACGTCATCTTCACGTTCAGCAAGCAGTGCTGTGTCGTGTGTGTGTGTGTGTTGTCAGCGAGCCGCGCTGCGTCGCGTGCGTGTTGTCAGCGAGCAGTGCTGTACCGTATGCATGTTGCAGATTGTTGATGAGTCCTTCCCTAATCCTGAAGCTGAGTTCCTCTTTGTATATTCCAGCTTTTTGTGTTGTTCATTCAGCATACAGATTGACTAGGACTGGCTAGGTTTTGTGAAAGGACACACCTCTGATGCACACTTTTCCCAATTTTAAACACGCAGTATCCCCTTATTTGCTCAAATAATGGCTTCCTGGTGTGTGTGGGTGTGTGTGTACAGGTTTCATATTATCATAATTAATTGTTCTGGGATTCCCCTTCATCTCAAGTTATCAAGAACCCTAATAGGTAGATAATAGTATGACGTTCATTTTTCAGACAAACAAACTGAGACGCAGAGTATTTAATGCACTTCTGACTTAATTCCAGAGCATGCAGCTCTTTAGTGTAAATTAAAATATACTTGCTTAGGTCTTGTTAGCGGTTTCATAATATTCCATTATTTGAATGTGTTGAAGTCTATGTGAGACGTGTCCCTCTTCAAGATGAACATTGAGATATTTTCCAGTAAGCAGACACCTGCTGATAAATATTTGAGTGTTTCCTGTATTTTGCTATGTTGTTATTAAGTACTGTGGAGTTAGACTCCGCCAGTGGGTTTTCAGAGACAATAAATCACACTGGAGATTTCCCATCTTTCTACCATGGAACAACTGGTGGATTTGAACCATGTGCCTTTGGACTGGCAGTGCAACTCCTTACTAAGCCACCAGCATTCAAAATGACATAGCGCCTGAACAGGGACGTAAGCCCTGCAGCTTCAGATTAAGAGTCTGATGCTTTACCTACTGAGCTTCCTGAAAGTATAATTGCAAATTTCTTTTTAAAGATAGTGAGAGAAAAGGGAAGGGCACACCTCACAAAAGTGTCTCAAATAGTGGGAGCAGTGGTGAACACTATGGGGGATGTCTAAGGATTCTGCTCCATGTAGGTGCTGGGATGTTGAGCTGGGTACAGAGGGTGCTGCCTCAGCCTCCAACATCCCCTCAGAAGACCAAGATGGACAAGGAGGAGGAGGAGGGACCAGAGCTGGGCGCAGAGCCGGTGGCAGAGGCAGAGCTCGAGGCAGAGCCTGAGCAGGAACCGGAGCCAGAGCTGGAGCTGGAGCCTAAACCGGAGCTGGAGCCGGAGCCGGAGCCGGAGCTGGAGCCAGAGCCGGAGCTGGAGCCAGAGCCGGAGCTGGAGCCAGAGCCGGAGCTGGAGCCTAAGCCGGAGCTGGAGCCGGAGCCGGAGCCAGAGGCAGAACCGAAGCCAGAGGCAGAGCCTGAGCTGGAGCTGGAGGCAGAGCCCGAGCCTGAGCCTGAGCCGGAGCCTGAGCCGGAGCCGGAGCCGGAGCCTGAGCCGGAGCCAGAGCCAAAACCAGAACTGGAACCAGAAGCAGCATCAGAGCCAGGACCAGAGATGCTCCCTGAGGAGACGGAGCTGAAAGATTCGGTGAGAAGATGAGGGTATGGAGGAAATGGCTGGCCTTGGTGCTCGGGGCCCCTCAGTTTAGGCCACCTGCCTCCCATAGACCTTCTACAACAGTGCAAGTTGGGGTGGAAGGAGCATGGAGGTCTCCTGGTCTACTGCCCTTATACAAATGAGAAAACAGCCCCAGAGGGTAGACAAGACTTTCTCAAGATTAACTTTCCTCCCCCTCCCTGTGAAAACCCAGACAAATATTTTAGGCTTAGTGGGATATGCTTGTGGACTATATTGTCTTAGGTCTATATTCAACTCTGCTCTGTAGAATGAAAGCAGCCAGAGAAAATGTGTAGATAAATGAACACAACTGTGTTCCAATAAAACTTTATTTAGTCAGATTTGGTCAGAAGGTCATGGTAAGCTGACCTGAAGAGTCTAGCTACTCAGCAGCTTGTTTGTGAACTGTTTCCATGCTATGAGGAGATTAGCACTTGTATCAGAATGTAAATTTATGAATGTAAATGAACACACTGCTTGGTTCAATTTATATTTATTTTGTAGCAAGACTTTCTGCGAGGAGGGAACAGTGCACTGTATACCTTTTGTCTCCACTGGCTTATTCATGATGGATCGGTTTTCAGACTGCACTGTGCATAAAGTGTTCTTTGAGATTCTGCTTTAGTGTTTTCCTTTAAGTGGATCAGAATTTGCCAGTTCTGTGTTGCCCTCATTCAGGAGCCTGATCCCAACTAACTCAGCAGCTCAATTATAGACATTTCTTTAGTTCCTCATTGATGCCGAGCCCTATGTTCAGTGCGGAGGACATAAAGTTGAATAAGGCATTTCCCCTGGCGGTCAACAGCTGGTTATTACAGTAGACAGAGTGATGAGGAGGTGCGGTGAGCTCCAACACTGGCCTTCGCTGTACCTTCTAACACCAAAGATAAAATCCACTGCGTGGCGAACGTGGGATGCTCAGAGGAGGGGGAGAATCCCGTTAGCGTCAGGGATTGTGTGCTGGTGGTGGAGAGCTTTCTGGACACAGAATTCTGGGTGGAATCTTAATTGGAGGAGATTCAGGAGGTGGGACATTTTTGGTCAAGGAAAGGCCATTGCTGAGGTAGTGTAGGCTGTGCTTAGGGATCACGAGCTGCTCAGGTATGGAGCATGGGTGCACATATGTGCTTCCATGTGTTTACAGAAAGTGCTTCCACGTGCACACATGTTCTCTGTGCATCACTTCTCGGTGATGTGTGTGTATGCATGTGTGCAAGCTGGATGTGCAGTCTTTACACATGTGTGTGAAAACTGGATGTGCACATGCATGTGTAAATACGTTTATAGGTACGTGCGCCTGCATAGATGTGCCTGCGGTTTCATTCCCTGGGAAGTGTATCTGTGTGCGTGTGTGTCTATGCTTATGTTTCAGTCTATGAGTGTACTTCTGTGTGTGTGCATACACATACCTGTCCACACATGTGTGTATGTGTTGCATCTCTTTACAAGCAGATGAATCCATAGTCTGAATCTGCACACACGTCTGTGTTTGTATGTGCATATATGCACATGCATGTGTGGTGGTACCTGTAAATGCATGCATGCATGTGTCCTTGGTTCTACCTGTGTCTGTGCACACATGTTTGTATCTATCTCTGCTGTGTTTCTAGCCATGCTCCTTTGCAGGCATACGTATACACATATATGCATGTTAACCTGTACCTGTAAGTTTGGGGGGATGTGTCCACATGGGTTGTGTCTGTGTGTGCACTTGCATGGTACATGTATGTGTGCACGTACACTACATGTTTGTGCATTTGTATGTTTTCATGAACACATGCTCACATTTGTGTGTCTAAACAAGCATGTAAATATGCATGCATGTTTGTATTTGGGCATAGAAGCATATGCAAGCTTGTCTGCAAAGCACTTGTATATGAGTGTGTCTTCATGTGTTTGTGTGTATGTATGTGCATTCAGTAGCAGGAGGTGTGACTGCAGAGGCATATGGGGGACAGGAGGCAGAGGCAGGTGAAGGACGGGTGGCAGAGGCAGGTGAGGGATGGAAGGAAGAGGCAGGTGAGGGACAGGTAGCAGAGGCAGGTGAGGGACAGGAGACAGAGGGAGGGGGGAACTGGAGGCAGAGGCAGGTGAGGGAAGGTTGGCAGAGGCAGGTGGGGGACAGGTGGCAGAGGCAGGTGAGGGACAGGTGGCAGAGGCAGGTGAGGGACAGGTGGCAGAGGCTGGTGAGGGACAGGGTCAGAAGTAAGTGAGGGACTGGTGTCAGAGGCTCCTGCTGGAGAGGAATGGAAGGTTTGGCCCAGGTCAGGGAAAGCCCTGGCTCCGTCTTCCCTTTCACTTGCCTCACGCCTTCCTGACTCTCTTTAACTGTTTCTCCCTCCTCCCAGAAGACCACTGACACTTCCTGGATATACTATACACCCGAGAGGCTAAGAGGCTTGATGGGAGGGCCTCAACTCTGGATGGATTCTGGGTTGGGAGAAGGGGAGTGTCCCAGGTTAAAGGCGAGGCTGCCAGAATGTAGAGACTCCTGATTGTGAGCAAGTCACAGGCCATCTAGCATGAACAAACGGTTTTACTGAGGGCTCACTTGGTCCTGTCTTAACCCTCCAGCCTCATGAAGAGCCATTTGAGGAAGAGGAAGAGGCCACGGCTGGGGCTGACCTAAGCTCTAAAGGTGAGTGCTACAACGGTAGCAGCGCAGGGGTGAGGTTCTCTCTTCAGAGCCTCCCAGGACCTCATGATGTGGGTAGATCCATTTCACAGATGAGAAAACTGAGCTTCAGAGAAGTGAAGAGTGGACTTCTGGGAGAGACTTGAGCTGGTACCTGGCCTTTTGAACGACTTGGCATTCTCCCCTTCTTCCCTGCCCAGCAAGATTGAAATGGACTCTCTCACTGGCCTTAGACCTAAAATATGAGGGATTCTTTTCCAGAGACCCAGGAGGCTGCCCCTGCACTGTCTGCCTCGCTCCAGGCCCAGGTCATTGAGGTCCCGGAAGTAAACAGGTAGGTACAGTTTCTCCTTCCGCTAGTCCCAGCATCACCTCGTCACATGCTGGTCACTGCCCTCAGCCCATAGTCATTTCCAGCCAGAGGCCCCGGGGCATCCTGGGAATTGACTAAAGAGAGCTTCAGGTAGAAGGTCAAGCGCTCCTAGGCTTCCAGAAGCTTCTCACACTTGCTCGAAACAGGTCTAGAATAGTCAGAGCTGCTGATTTTTCCAGGGTGTCAGATATCCCTGTTTTCCCCCTTAACGTCTCCTAATTAGAGCATGTCTTTACCTGGGATTGGCTTCATCTGTGACGCTCAAATTAAGGCTGATCAACTTCAACCACATTAGAACTTTGCTCACCCCCTTGAAAACCCTCAGTCCTCCTGGGGTGTGGGATGTGACCGGAGTGTGGAGCAGAGCGCCCCTGGACAGTGGAGGGGTAGAATTGCAGAGAGCGTCAGCTGCCCTGTAGCACACACATAAGGTTCAGGGAGGTGATGTGCCAGAGGATGGAGAGGGAGTCCAACCCACTTCTCTGAGATGCTGTGGACTTAGCAGGGAGGGTGGAGGGGAGCTCGAGGGGGCTGACATCTCTGTCCATCGTAGTCCCAGGAACTGGCTGCCGACATGGTTTAGGAAGAGCATGGAGAAGGTGGTCCCACAGCCTGTCTACAGCAGTGGGGCAGCCCAGAATGACACTGCTGGCTTAGAGGATCCTGCCCAGGTGCTTGGGGTCAGGAAGTGAGGAGGGGGCTGGTGGGAGAGGGGCTGGTAGGATCCAGCGCAGCCTGAACCTGAGACCTTACTCTTTGTCTATGTCCATCTGTCTGTCTGTCCACGGCAGACTGGAGCACAGATCCCTGGGCACTGTAGCACTGGGAACTCAGGTAAGGCCAAGGGGCAGGATGGGTTTTCAGGGGTCGGGAATGAGGGTGCTGTTGGGGTGAACTTGGTCTCCGGGAGTCCAGAGGAGCCTGAATGACTCATCTTTCTGACCCTGGCTTTGAACCTGGGCTTCCGCTGGGTTCTTGCTGCCTGTTCCAGGCTGGCCAGGGGAGGGAGGCTGACCACCTTAGTTTTCTGACCCTGCAGGATGTGCAGATGGATGCAATGAGGCCCCCAAAGCCCAAGACACCGGGTGAGTCACCACACGGAGCACTGGTTTAGAAGTCCCTGAATCCTGTCTGTAGCAGGCCTCAGTTTTTGGATCCGTTAAGTGGGAACAAAGGGCCTCATCCTGGTCCTGGTCTGTGGTATTAATAACTGGGGCATCCCGGGGACAGCCACTTTCTAAGAATGAGAAATGGCACGAGTGAGGGCCCAACGGGTGAGCTTCATCGACGGGCTGTGAATGGAGCCCCGAGGCAGGATTTGGACCACAGTGCTGCGCACAGGGGGCTGGTCTCACAGCTCACAGGTGACGATAGCTTCTGACTTCTTAGCGTGAGTGAAAGAGGGTGACTGCCTGGCCAGTGAGGGTGGCAGGCAGGGTGCAAACTGTGGAAAACTGTGGAGCAGATGCCAAGGGAGAAGGGGAGTGTCCTTGCCGAAGGGCCAGCCAAGGGGCTCTGATCTTTCAGTTTTTTAAGAGATAATAGAAATGTAGCCTTTCACGTGTTGTTGTTATGTGCTGTCAAGTTGGAATCAACACATAACTGACCCTCCAGTGGCTTTTCAGAGACAGTGAACTGCATGGGAGTTGATCGCCCATCTTCCTCCTACGGGGCAGCTAATAGGTTTGAACTGTGTGCTTGTGGGTTGACTGCGCGGTGCCTCACCAGAGCCGTCACCGCAGCTACCTGCTTTTTACGTAGAAGTCTTAATTTTCATAAACTGCCAATTGAGAAGCGTCCAGAGCATAAGCCCTAATGCTTCACTGGCAATCTTTGCTGCACGTCTGGGGTCATGCTTTCCTCTCCACTCCTTCATTCACCTGTTCAGGTATCGGACGGGTTCCTCAGGGCCTCTTGGCTTGGTCACTCCTGAATGTCTGGGGCCAGCGCAGCTGCCGCAGAGGGGGCTCAGCACGTATGGGACGAGTGAATGAATGCTCGGAAATGCGTGACCAGATGCAATCGCAGCCGTGGCTCCAGCTCGCTCTCTGTTTCTTTTGCTTCCTGGAGGCTTCCCCAGTCAGGGGTGAGCTAGGGATACTCAGCTGACTCTCAGGACCACTGAGGCCATTTAGGATGAGGGCACACACAGGACTTGCCAGCTTTCTTTTGAGCCACATCTGAGGGCGGAGCTTCTCTGGAGAATTGAGCTCGCTGCAGGCCACATGGGCCAGGGATCCGGCATCATTCCTGGGACCAGCTCTGCGGCTTTAGGTTGCCTACTTTAAAAAGACCTTCAAGACTGTGATAGCAATGCAGTCAGCAAATCTGGGGTATCTCTAGTGTGGGCCGTGTGTGATTGATGGCTCCAAGGCCCTGGGAGGCACCCCTGTCTGTGCCTGTCACAGGGAAACTCCATGTAGTATTCAGGTAGCCATGCAGTCCCTTTCCCACCTACTGCCCAAGACAAAGGCTGGGCCTGTTGTTCAGGAGCCAAGAATCATTGAGAATTTGAGGTTCACCTTGGGGCCTTAGCGGGTGTTCAGCGGCAGGCCTCCCTGTGCAGATGGGAAGTAGGGGTGAAGATAGGCTGCCCCAGCCCTGGTCCTGGGTGGAGGGCCCACTCCTCCAGGCTGCCCAGCTGACCACCAGCCCCTTCACAGGCCCAGGCCTTGGCTCCTCAGGTGGTTTGAGCAGAACCTGGAGAAAGTGCTGCCTCAGCCCCCCAAAACCTATGAGGTGAGCTGAGAAGAGGGAGCTTTTCTGGGGCCCCAGAAGGAGCTGTGCACCTCAGCTCCTCTATGATTCAGAGCAGGGTGCTCTCTTCTTTGGAGGGTTTTGGAGGGCCCTGTGAGGGTCTGACGCTCTGTAAGGGGTTCAGGGGCCTGTCGGGAGGAGTGACTGGGGGCGGGAGGGGAGGTCCTGTCACCTGCCCCAGCCAGGGCCATGCCGGCCAGCCCTGGCAGCTCATAGGGCATCAGCTCACTGGCCTGACTCTGGTTTATGATCCAGGTCTGGAGAGACAAACCTGAAGACACTGCCTTGGACCCAGGTATAGGATGGGAAGCCTGGGAGTGGTCAGGGCTTGGAAAAAACTGGAGGCTAAGGGGGGAGTCTGGGCAGGACAGACAGACCTCAGCACTCACTGGGCCAGGGGAGAACTCAGGGCTTCCCAGGGGCAGATTGCAGGGGACACTGAACCCTTTCCCAGCCCATTATGGGAAACCAGAGAATAAGGACAGAGATGTGTCCCCCCGCCCCCACCCACCCCCCCAGCTTCAGTTTCTTGATGTCGTGGATTCCCTTTGCCCTTGAGGGATCAAGTGCAACCATACTGTGGAATTTCTTCCCCGGTGACAGAACCACCAGAAGTTCCCCTGGAAGAGGAGCCCGTGCTGCAGGCCCCAGAGAGCCCCTGCCCACCCACCCCCAGCCCCCCGGAACCTGAGGACGAACCAGCTCCAGAACCCCAGTCTGACTTCCAAGTCCTCTCCCTGCCACCACCTGGAGATCCCGCCAAGTAAGCCACTTGGATGCAGCACCTTCCACAGGGCCAGGGTATAGGGCTGCCCCAGATATCACCCAGCCTTCGCCAAAAGGTGTTTTTTTAAAATCACACAAGTAAGGCAGGCACTTGGGAAAACAGGCAGTTGATTTAGTGGGACTGTTCCCAAAGCAACCAGTTAGCTGCCTTCCCAGGCTCTCTGCACACATGAGCCTTATGCGTTGTACTTCTTTAAATGTACACCTAAGAGTAGGAATCTTCAGTTGATTGGAAGCAGGAGCGGCATCCACTTCCTAAACACCATGCCTCCGGAAACTCTGTGAACTTTGATAAATGTCAATAGTTATAGAAAGGCTTCAGGCCTTTTGTTCATAGAGTCGCTATGAGTCATGCTCGACTTGAAGGCAATCAACAACAACAACAACAAAGTCAAGCTGTAGGTCCATTCTGCATCCTGCTTCCTCTACTTCAAAACATATCGTAGAAAGACACAAAACAATTCATGGAAATGGCCACATTTACTGATTAGACAGAGAACTGGCAGAATCTCTGAGCCTGTGGGCCTTGGTTACCCTTCAAGTCCAGAACCAAACTCACCTTCGTGACTCAACTTTCAGCCAAACAACAGAAAAACCTAGAAGATAATCAGTAACACAAGAGAGGTATGTATGTACTTCTTAGAACAACCTTACAAGATCCAAAGGGCAGCATTTGTCCAGGGAATAAAGTGCATGAAGCAGGAAGGGAAAGGAGAGAAGGACTAATGGAAATAAACATATAAGGAGGAAGTGGGAAGAGCACTGCTGCCCTGTGGGAATGGCCATCAAGTCACAAAACAAAATCTGCATTAGCTGTTAAGTGGAAAATCTGTTTGCTCTGGAAACTTGCACCCAAATAACAGTTTAAAAAAAAAAAAAGAGGGAGTGATAGATTGAGGGGGAAAAGTCTTCAAGCTTGTTCCATTTCTTAGTGTAAATGGCTTCATTCTTCCAACAGCTGCATTGTTCTCTGTTGTAAGGACAGATCAGCTTTGATATAGTGATGCAGTGGAAATCTTAGTTTCATTTTTCCTTGTGCAGCAAGTAATAAATAAACTTTTACCAGGATTATGCAGCTCCTTCACGATGAGAATGAAAACCAGTCATTTCTAAGTCACGGCAGCCTTGTGTATCAGAGTAGAAATGACTCCCCCTCCTGTTTTCAGTGGCTGAATATTTTGGAAACAGACACCCAAGAATTTTCAGAAGAAATTCTGAAGTGCCGCTGGATGGGCTTGAACTTCCAACCCTTCAGCTGGCAGCTGAGCTTCCTAACAGCACCCACAGACTCCACCATCGGAGTAGCTAGTACAAGTGCTTCCACAGCGCTGTGAGGGGAGCCGGGCTGTGAGGGTCAGTCAGAGGCCTGTCTGGCAGAGACCCCGCTGCTCTTGGAGGCTGGAGTCCTGGGCTCGGCTCAGCTTGCGGTCTGCCCTGGGAGGGTCCACTTCCTCACTCTCCTCCTGCAGGCTAATGGCGTGGCTCCTGCATAGGCTGGAGAAGGCCCTGCCGCAGCCGGTGCACCATGGGAAGGCCCAGGAGCAGGTCAGTACAGAGGGGCTGGGGCCTGGAAGTCTGGGTGTGGTGGTCTTGGGGAACTCAGGTGAAGGGGGATACTCAGCCTGTGAGCCTGGGGGTGACAGTAGGAAGGAGAGAGCCTACCCACAGAGCCCAGTCCACCTGGCATCCTGACCTCCGCTGCATTCACTCCACATGTCCTTGGTGGTGCACTGAGCGCTGGGCCAAAGGGCTGGCCCTGATCTGTCCACGCATTTTGACGGAGGAAACAGGGAGGATGTGGAGCTCAGAGGAGGAGCTTTGGGGCATCAAGGAAGACTTCTCAGGGGAAAGAGCCTCCGGCTTGTGATTTGAAGAAAGGAGGAGGGGAGGTGAAGGGGACAGTATAGGAAGGGTCCTTTGGGCAGAGACCCAGCATGTGGAGAAGCTAGAGGCAAGGTCTACACGGAAAGTCTGCCATGGAGCCGAGCCTGGGGTCCTGCTGGGAATGAATGCAGGCTCTGACGCTCGGGCCTGGGGCCTGTCTCCCCTTGTGGGTGGCTGGGCATCTTCAAAGATGCTCCTGGAGCTGAGAGGTAGAGGTCTAGATTTTCACTGTGACTGCGTGGCCTTGTCCTGGCCCCAGCTCTCCTGGGACGTCAGTTTTCCCACTGGAACAATGAGCTCAGGGTAGTGAGAATGCAGGAACAGAATGAAGTTGTCCAGGCCTTCAAGAAAGAGGCGTCCCCAGGGCCACTGAGGCACAGCTGGCCCCTTTGAGAAGGAGGCCATGCTGTGGCTCTGAGACACCTCACTTAACTGGGCCTCAGACTCTCAAAGTCCCCTCACTGTCCCCCTATCCTGAGTGCTGGCCATGGATGAGCGGGCCATGGGTCTGTGGCCCCATCCACTGTGCCTTGTTCAGGGTGCAGAGTGGAGAGCCTGCAGGGGAAGGAGAACAAAGCTTCGGGACCCTTCCCTGCAGGCTGAGCCCCCAGCCCCCCATCCAGGTGGTCTCTACAGGTGACAGGGGGAGACAACTCAGAACGTTCCCCAGGAGATGATGAGTGAGAGGACCACAGAGGAGAGGAGGGGCAGAGAGGAGCCCCCGGTGAGGCGATGGGGAGGAGGGGGGCTTTCCTACCTGGGGGCCAGAGGAGGACTTTCTCAGGCAGGTGGTCTCGAGGTGAGCAAAGGAGCGTGGGAGAGAGTGGCTGGAGCCCAGGATGTCTGCAGCAGGAGAGGGGAGACAGGGAGGGCAAGCCTGGTGCAGTGGGACCTCAGAGGTGCCCCTAGAGGGCCCTGGTGTGCAGGGTGGGGGTGGGTGGAGGGGCAGGGAGAACTGGAGGGGCATGTGATAAGTTCAAACTCAACAGCCATGAGTTTCGCTTTCTCTCTCACGCAGGAGCCTGGCAACCCCGCACCGTGTGACACCATGCTGTGCACTGTGCAGACCAGTAAGTGAAGCATTAACGGGTCGGTCCTTGGTGTCCTTTACCCTGGGTCTTCATGGCCAGTGGGCTCTCCCCAGTGAGACTAGACTCATTGTGGGTCTTCCGGGGGTCTCCTGAGTTGGTACCGAGAGAGCTCATGCTCTAGTCAGTCTCCTGGCACCCAGAGCCACGGGAGGCCTTTCCCAGACACCAGGGAGGGACACGGCTGGGGTGGGATGACCAGTGCTTGAGGTTTCCAGCCAGGAAATCCAGTCCTGAGGCCAAGGCGGTGGGCTCCCTGCTGGGACCTCTCGGGGAGCTCTTTCGTTTGTCCTCACAGCTGCCTGCATGAGTGGGCTTTTGAGGCAGGTGTCTGGGGGGAGAAGGAAGGGTGGCCCCCTGGGAGAGGCTTCTCCTCACGGGGCGAGTGTGGGGAGGGGTATGTAGCCTTTTGTCCCAGTGGGAGTGGGACAGAGCCCTGAGGTCAGGAGGGGAGGGCTGGGCACAGAACCAGCCCTTCCTTCATTTTTGGCCTCTGGAAAGGCATGCAGTAGATGGGGCATTCATTCATTTATCAACAAACGTCACGGCGTTCTGGATGGTGTGTAGTTAACACATGGTTGGCTGTTAACTGAAAGGCTGGCGATGTCTAAAGGGAGAAAGGCCTGGCAATTCTGAAAAGTGGCCATGAGCCACCTGGTGGGGCCAGCTGACACTGACACACATGCTGTGGCCGAGGGCTGGAGGCCAGGGTCCGTGGTGCACCAGCCCCGTGATTGGCTCTTGCGGGAGCGTTGTTCAGGGCCTCTGGGCGGTGGTGGCCCTGCTCCAGCCTGGGTTGTGGGCTGCAGAGTGTTCCAGGGCTGCTCCCAGCATCTCATGGGGAATGGGGTCCCCCAGCTGCCTGGAGCATGACAGAGCCTTCAGAGCAGGGTGAACTGTCTCGTGGGGCCCTGAAGGCCACTATGAGGGGTGCAGGGTAGTGACCTCCCTTGCTGTTGGGGCAGGCAGGGACAGGGCTTGTCCAAGGTCACAGAGCCAGCTCTCTGTGGGCTTGGTCCCATGGGGCTGGGAGCAGTGGCTCTGCCAGGGGCAGCTTAGAGAGGCTGTTACCACAGACTCCAGAGGCCTGGGAGACCACACTAAGGAGCAGCGCCTCATGTTTTCCGCTCCTCAGTCAGGAGGCAGAACCTCTGGAAGCTCTCGGAGTGTGGGGCAGATGGGTGCCAGGACGGCAGGGCAGACTTAGTGCAGGGGCCAGGGACTGGGGTCACACCAAGAGCCTGAGACATATGTCCCCTCCCCAGCTTCCCCAGACCCGCTTGTTCACCTTTTCCTCCATTCATGCCCTCCGTCTGTCCATCCAGGTGCCCACCTATCTGTCTTCTCCTTCTGTTTCAGGGGAGACGGAAGCTCGAGGCCTCTGAAACAAGGGAGAAGGGAGCCTGGGAGAGCCTGGATGGACAAATGGACGGATGGACGGAAGGAAAGAAGGGGGCCCTGAAGAGAAGACTTGCAGGGGAGGGGCGGGGAGGTGGCTGGTGACTGGTGACCCTCTGCTCTACTTTTATAAGCAAGGATGAGGGGCAGGGTCACCCACACCAGCCCCAGTACCTCCTCTAGGGAACCTGGGGGTGTGAGGATCAAGACCAGCTGTTTCCACCAGAAGGACAGATGTGAGACTTAAGCTAGTCTGCAGGGGTCTCCAAATGGAAAGCCAAGGAAGATCCTCTCTGAGGACCACCCAGCCCTTATTGTGGGGCTGGCCAGCCTGCTGGCCCTTGGCACCTCATCCCCCGGGAGACCTTCCTGTTGGTCTAAGGCCCCAGGCTTGGGACCACCAGCGCACAAGACAAGTGGTTTAATCATTTCAATGGACATTAAAACAAAAAAGCACAGATTAGCACATCAAGGCTGTGATTCCATGCTGTTATTGCTCGCCCACTGCCCGCTGTCCACAGGCTGATTTGGTCTGAAGGCTGAGAAACCTGCACCCACTCCCCTTGTGATTGTGATGATGGTGACAGGGAGGGCTGGACCACACTTAGAAAGGCAGGAAGTTACTGAGAGAACAGCGTTTGCGGCTCAACTGGAAAGGGGGAGGGCAGGACCCGGGACAGGCAGACAGACGGCCCCACTCAGAGACCCCACGGAGACGCTGACAGGTCTTCCTGACCCCTCGGCCTTGTTCAACCCTGAAGTCAGCTCTGTGAAGTCACTCCTCTGCTCAGCCCCCTCCAGTGGGTCCCCGTTGCCAATAGCCGTGCCCTCTAAAGCCAAGCTCTGCTTTATCTTTGGCATCAGGGGCCACTCTTCTGTCACTCCCTCCCTCTTCTGCTCCCTGAAACTTACTCACTTAGCCCCTTTTCCAAAATTTCCCTGAGTTTGCTGCCAGATTGAGGACGCTCCTTGCACACTCTTAAGCACTTGACCGCTGACCTAAAGGTTGTTGGTTCTTGGCAGCAAACTTCCATAAGGATTACAGTCCCGGAACCCTCATAGGGCAGTTCTGCTCTGTACCACACTGAGCCACCATGAGTCTGAATCGGCTCACAGCCATGCATTTGGGTTTTTAGTGAGGTGATGAGGAGGAGATCTCGGCCTCCCATCTGCGCCCCAGGATGCCCCGTCTGCTGACCTTAGATGCAGAGTTCCTTCCCCAGATGGGCAGTCAGGCTTCCTGGTGGGCTCCAGTCATGGCCTCGAGGGACAGCCCAGGCTGGCAGCGAGGATGCTGGTCAGGTGGGACTTGCCCAGAAGGGCTCCAGGTGCAAAATTTAAGCTCCCGATGGAACAGCTATTCCCACAAGATCTTGAACACCCGCAGTGCCTCAGGCCTTGCCCATGTTACCCAGCATCTGGGGTGGTGAAGGCTTGAAAAGCAGGCTGCGCCTCATCAGTGGCCGAGAAGGGATGCTCACTTCCTCACCAGGGCTGCTGGGGGCCTGACGGGTGGCCGCGCCCTGTTCATTCTGACTGGTGACATGTCCGCCATCATCACACAACCTCATGAAATATCATTCACAGCCATCTACAATAACACACAGAGACATAATAACATGTACATCGAATCCTGCCGCTGGGCTTATGGACACAGATGGTTGCCCTCCCCACCTTCCTGGTCAGAGTAGGGCCACTGGCTATGGAAAAGGGACCCTCCTGCAGAGACTCTGCAGAATGGGAGAGGACAGTAAAGGGAGGTGACCCTTGGAAGTGCCGGACCCACGGAGAGTGTTCTTTAAAAGAAGGTGCTAGCCACGGCCTCTTCTAAACCCAGCTTGGATTTCTGGTCATTTACTGTCAATGTACTGTTCCGGTTGTTTCTGGGTAATCTTCAACAGGATTGCTTACCTATAGGGAATGAAATAAGGGAGGAAAAAAATAAAGGAAGGGAAACAAAAGGAAGATAATAATTGTTCTTGTCTCAGAGGACTGATCTGAGGATTAGTCAAATCAATCCACATAAACCACTTAGCCCAGAGGCTGGCATGTAGGATGCGCACAATAAGTATAGGAGAACAAACAAGTTCATCCTGGAGAGGGCGAAGCCAGGCTGCTCCTTGGAGGCAAGGATTCTGAGGCATTGTCTGACGTACTTTGGACATGTTGCGAGGCGGGACCAGTCCTTAGAGAGGGACATCATGCTTGGGAGGGTGGAGGGACAGCGCAGGAGAGGAAGACCCTCTATGAGATGGATTGATTCAGTGACTGGGGTAATGGGGATAGATGTGTCAGAGAAAAAGAAGATTTGCAAGGGATAAAGCAGGATTTAGGGCTGTTGTACATAGGGTTGCTATGAGTCACAGGCGACTCAACGGCACATAACAACAACACAGCAATATACTGCAACCAGTAACTTCTATAGTTATAGGTCACAGGACAAGACTTCAGACCAGTATGTAGTTAAAACCATAGTTATCATTCATGCTTGTGTGAGGGCCACGAAGGCCCGAGCTCTCAGGGACCACCTGGTGTCCAGGCATTGTCCTTTTCCTGCCTGATGACTGCTTGAGGTGGGCTCGGGTTGGCCTGAGACTCCCCTGCACCTCCTTCTGCCAAGCCCACAGCCCTGCAGGGTTTTCCTTGTTAGTTTGGGACTGTTGGAGAAATGTCCAACGTCACAGGCTCCCATCCCCACGTGGAAATACCTTCACTGAGAAAGCCAAATGTCCTTGGAGGGTGGGGCTTCGAGGTTGTGGATTAGGGCCATGTAGTATGCTGTCAGTGCTGTCACCAGAAGACATTTAGAGGGTAAGAAGTGAGCAGGCTCTCTGTACCCCTGGGGAATCCAGGTCTCTCGGGATCTGGATATGACAAGGTGAACCCCAAGCCCTGGGCTCTGGGCAGTTGTGACTGGATTTACCGAAGCAGGATCCTGAGCTTGTTGCCCTGGGTCCCGTCAGACCCACAGGGTCTCTGTGTGGGTTCTGTACAAACCTCCCTGGACTTCATGCATTGTGATGGAGAGCTCAGGCTTAAGAGGAAAATGTGCTGCACAGGAGGAGATTGCCCATCCTTCTCCCTCAGCAGTGGGTGGACTCCGGCCGCATGCCTTTGGGATTACAGTGCTGCTTCCTGACAAGAGGCCACCAGAGCTCCCTTGAGAGTAAAAAAACAAAGGGAGCCCTGGTGGCCTACTGGCAAGAAGCTGCACTGCAATCCCAAAGGCACAGGGTTTGAATCACCAGCTGCTCTGCTTGGAGGAAGGGCAATCTCCTCCCATGCCAGTTGGATATGACTTGATGGTACACAACAAGGAAAAAAAAAAGACAAGGGAGGGAGGGAGG